CAGCCACGCGTCGGCCAGCGCTGGGAGCTGGGCAGCGCGGAAGGACCGGGTGCAGAACGGGCTCTGTCCAGGAGCCGCCTTGCTCAGCAATGGCCAAAGAGTGGGTCAGAACCAAAAATAAGTTTGGGGAAGGGAGGGAGAGGAAGCACAGACACGGAATGTCCTGGGGGACCACAGAGCTAAAGGCCTGGATGAGAGAGGACATGAGCCACAGCCAGCTGTGGCCAGCACAGCCACCACCGCCAGCATCCCCCCAACGCCAGCCCCGCCACCGGCCGGGCTCTCCCCCTGCTGCCGCAGTCCTCAGCCACGGTGTCAAGACACAGGCCCACAGCATCCGGGCGCTGTCGTGGCACAGTCAGGCAGCTGGGCACCCCTGTTTGCCTTCTGCAGCTGCAGGGACTCCTCTCAGGACGACGTGTTCCCACCTTCCACAACACGGGCTCAGAGGAAAACCTGATTTCCCTTTGTCCCCAGGCTCCACCTCGGCCAAGGGCTTGTCACTGTGGTCCCTCGTCCCTGGGCAAAGGGTAACATAGATCCAAGTGCCACTGCCCAAAGCCCAGCTGCTGCTTCTCAGTCTCTTGACTCCCGGGCTACTGCCGCTTGGCTTTGTAGGGGCGAGAGCGTTTCCGGCGATCCGGCTTCCTCTGCTTGTGCAGGCGGCCGATGCTGACACCCTGCCGCCTGCGGACAGAGATGTTCTGCTCCACGAGGCTCGCCAGCATGCCTGCAGGGAGAGGCAGACAGACACGGCCGCGCTGGAGCGCCGGTACTGCCCGTATGGAGGGCAGCCCTCCCTCTCCCGCCCCGAACCCAGCAGCAGGCTCCTCCTGGGACTACAGGATCAGGAGACCGGAGACGTCCGGCTGCCAGACCGAGCGCTGCCTCGTGCCCCGGGTCTGGCAGAAGCGGGGAACAGGGCAGGGTGAGTTTCCCAGGCTCCCAGCTGCCACTCTGCCGCGCTCCGTGCGGCTCCCCCAGCTGACTCTGAAGCCCATGTTCCGTCCCCTCGGCCGCGCGGCCCAGCTCACCTTCCTGGGCCAGCATGGAGATGAAGGTACAGATGAACTCGTCGTAGTTGTGGGTTCTCCTCTGGTCATCGATCTACAAAGAGGTGACAAATCCACAAATAATCCACACACGGCTGGCAGGCAGAAAGGAGAGCTCAAGGCTAACAGGGGGCAACAGACTGGCCTGCCTGGCCCAGCCCACAGGCCAGGGAGGCTGGAGCAGGAAGGGACCCACCTCCCAGCCCAGCTCAGACCAATGCACAACTGGGACAGTCTCCATCCCAGTTCAGATGCCAGCACTGTTCACAAAGGGCAGCTAGGAAGAGGCGAGGGTGAGCAGGGGAGGAATCCTGCCAGGCCTTGGAGCAGAGACCCCCCTTCCTCCTGTCAGCGCCGGTGTCCAGCTGTGGCCCAGCTGCAGCGCTCCACCTTCTTCCTCAAGCTAGCTGCTGCTGCTGCCCCAGGGGCTTCGGCCTGTCCTGGCGGAAGCTCTGCCCCGTAGGGCCGTTCGGTAACGGGAAAGGGACCCCGAATGCTCCCCAGCACCATTCTCAGCTGCGTCCACTTTGACATGAAGACACCCCAGACAGAAGCCTTCAGGGAGCCGAACCAGCAACGCAAACACACCCTCAACAAACACACCTTGAATTTCTTCCTCTTCTCCACCTCCTCCTTCAGGCAGGCCTCGTAGTTTGCAATCTCTGCCTCCACGCACTTCAGCAATGCCAGCAGCTCCTGCCAGGATCAAGCAGAACAAATGTGAGCAGACGGACCCCTGCTGCAGCCATGCGGGGTGAGCTGGTGGGAGTTCCTCTCTGCGCTGGGAAAGAGAGGATTCATCAAAGCAAAAAACACTTGTCAGGAAAAAAAAAAAAGATCAGTTCATCGTAAGGAATTTCGGAGTCAGAGGGCAATCAATCAGCCAGCACTAGGGCCAGCCCCAGGGGAGCTGGGTTCTGCCCAGGCCTGGCCCAGCCCCATGTACCTGGTTCTCTGGGACAGGCGAAGGGCTGCGTGCGTGCCTGAGAAACACCCCAGGGCCCGGTTCTTCTCAGTAACAAAATCTGAAGGCTTTCCTTTTGAGTAAAACAGTTTCTAGCCAGCTCTCCTCCAGGGAGCCCTTGATGCACCTGTGCTGCCCGAGCCTGGTCCCGTCTCTGGCCGGGGGCCAAGGGCAGGCAGTGAAGTTCTCAGCAGGCTGGGATTTGGGGGTGCAGAGCCCCACCGGCCTCTGGCCCAAAGGAGAGCGCAGCACGCCGAAGGCCTCAGCTGCGGGAGACAGCGGCTCTGCCCACTGCCAACACACACGTCCCCGAGATGACGCAAGGCACAAAACCTGCACTGCCCTGTGCCTCGAGGCACGGCTGCGGCGACACGCGAGCGGGACAGCGTGCACATGCGGTTGGGTCACTGCCAGCGCTGCTGCGTCTCTGGGGGAGCGCAGGGAGCTCCACGTTCCCAGGGCTGTCGCAGCACAAAACTCACCTTGGGAGAATACTTTTCCCCCCCAGGGTGATCACTGGTCCTGCCAAGTCCCACCTTCTCTTTGCTGTCACTGGCCTCACTGCCCTCCTTCTCGTCCAGTTTGACTGCGACCGGGGCGTCTTCACCGGGTTTGATGGAAGGGGGGGAGCTTTTCCCCCCATCTGCGCAGAGAGGAAGGAAGGTGAGGAGCCATCGCGAAGGACCGGTATCAGCTCCCAAAGTCACAGGATCCTGTCCAGTCACCCCAGAGCCGGCAGGCACCCACCTGCAGCAGCCAGCGGGCAGAACACGCCGTCCTCCGTCAGGTGCAGCAGCCCCGTGCTGATGACAGGCCCCAGGTCCCTGACGGCCCGGTTGTAGCGCATGCAGTCGACACGCAGCAGGCCGTCCTCCTCGCCGAAGAGCACCTTGGAGATGTGGGAGGTGACGGGGCTGGAGGGGCGGGTGGAAAGATCCTTTTGAGATTCCTTCAGCTTCTCGGCCAGGACGTTGATGGTGTTGGGCTGGAGGACGGAGAGCTGGCCATCCGCAGCCCCCGTCCCGTGCTCTTGCTTCACCTGCCCTTTCCTTTTGTACCTGCCCAGGAACACAGCAGGGAAGGTGAGCGGCTGGGGGAGGAGGTGGGGGCACAGCCGCTGCCAGCTCCGCACTCGGCACTCCAGGCTGGCTGCTGGGATGCAGCAATGCCTGAAGCATTTCTAGGTCACCCTCAGTGCCACCAGCTTCCCCGGCAGCACCCCAGCCCCACTGAACTGCTCCGCTGCGGTACCCCAACGCAGCCCCTGCTGCATACCCCTGCTCTTCGTCCAGAAGCCCCAAAAGCACCCTCACTGTGACATTCCCCAAACCTGCTGCCCACACACAGTTTTATTCAGGGCAGCCAAAATTCAGGGTTGATTGTGAAGAGCTGCAGAAAGGCTCCACAAAATCCCGCGAGTGAACAGTAAAACAGCAGGCGAAGAGGAGAACAGCCCTAACTGCACACACAGGTGCAGGCTCTAACACAACTGCCTGCGCTCAGGAAAGAGATCTGGGAGTCGCCGCTGGCGGTTCTGCAAACAGTTCCCTGCCCCCCCCCTCAGCTCTAGCCATCACCTGATGGCCGAGTTGGTGTTACGAACTTCCTCCTCCTCATCATCATCGTAGTCATCCTCATCATCCGAGTACTGCTGGTGCTGTCGGACCGGGACCCGGCTGCGACCCACTCCAGCTGCAAGGTCTTCCTCCTCCTGCAAAACACCGTTGCTGACGGCAGGCCGGCGGTGGGGCAAGGAGGAAGAGCCCAGCAGACGTGTCCTCAGTCCAGCCAAGCACTGGGGCTTACCCCTTCCGAGAGGAGACAGAGGACTCTTCCCCACGCTCGCTCAGCTGACCCACACTAACACTAACTGCTTTTGCCAGGTCAGTCTTTACCCTCTCACCTTCCAGCCTGGGTTAGCGCAAGGGCAGGCAGGCTGCGAGGCAGGGGCAGGGCTTAGACCACATTGTCCCAGAGAGGGGAGGGACTGGGAGTGAAAAGCTCGGCTCAAGGCAGGCGTGCTGCTGGCCCGGAGCTCCAGCCTACCTGCATGGGGGACTTGGCGTAGTTGTGATTATCCAGGAAGGCTGGCAACCTCTGCACGATGGGGTTGGGGTTTGCTGGAGGCGCCCCGTTGATACTGCTCGCCGACGTCTTTGCCACCGGTTTGGATTTGTTGGGTGGGCTCTGCGTGGCCGCAGGGTGGCCCTGGCTGGCGGGCTCATCGGTGCCATCTGCCATGGAAGCACAGCACAGCCTTTCATGTTCTGCACAGTCACTTCTTACTCCATGTCCTCTGCCACCCCTTATGCACCCCACACAGCAGAAGAGCTCCACCAGACCATCACACCCACTTCCCCTTCCACCTCCAGCTGTCACCAGTGTCCCCAAGCTTAAGCCCTCCCATTTGCAAGCTCCATGTCACTTCAACACTTCTCCCAGGCACAGAGGTATCTACCACACCCCAGCACAGTGCACACAGAGCTGGACTTGGAGGAAAGAAAGTGACACTGGCCAGAAAACTGCCTTAAGCTCCAGGTCAGCCAGTCATTGTCACCAGCCTGGGCTCGTTCCGCAGCAGGCCAGGCTGGCTGGTTGGCAATGCTGATACAGGATCCTACCTGGATGGGTGCTCTCTGGAGTCACGGTCTTGCTGATGGCTGGCTTTGCCTCTTCGGGAGGCTGAGACTCCTGAGACTTCTGAGTCTGGATCAGCTCAGGCTGGGTTACTCGGATCAGCTTGAAGGCAAATGACAGACAGAAACTGAGTGCTGGACCGGGGTGACCCAAACCACATCCCCCCCATTCAAGCACTGCAGAGGAACTCGTGAGGGGGAGCCAGCTGCCGAGCGCCTGTGTGCACAATCAAATGACAACACCAGAGAAAACCTCCCAGGTGAGCAGCAAAAGGCCAAGCGGTGAGGCTGGCAAACTCCTCTTCCCAGATGATATTCCCCAAGGCCAAAAAGAACCCCACAATCCAGGCCCCCCAACAGCACAGGGAGATGCCCTGAAAACTGAGCCTATTCCCAGCCCAGGCTTGCACTCTCTCAGGGCTCGGGCTGTCCTACCTGCTGCAAGGCCTCCAGCACAGTCTGACGGTTCATCTTCAGGATGTGCAGTTTGGACTCGTACTTCATCCTCCGATCAGGCACCACTGCCATCAGATTGAAGCGGATGTCGTGGTACGGCTCCCTGCAGGGAAGGACAGCGGACGTCAGCCGCGAGCCGGCGGGGGGAAGCCTGTCTCCAGCACCGGGGGGGGACGTCAGCCGCGAGCCGGCGGTGGAAAGCCTGTCTCCAGCACAGGGGGGTCAGCAGGCTGCCAGCCATACCCTGCACAGCTCCTGCGGGCTCTTTCCAGGCAGCGTCTCCCCCATCCTGCCATTTAACACCAACCAGGAGGCTTTTCCCCCAACACCGAGTCAACCTCACACTGGCTGAAGAAGCAGAGCAAGGTTTCTTCAGCCACAAGACAAAGTACCCTTCGCAGAGTCACAGATCGGCTGAGGTGAGAGGGGACCTGTGGAGGTCACCTGCTCCAACCCCCTGCTCCAGCAGGGTCACCCAGAGCTGGTTGCCCGGGACCACATCCAGATGGCTTTTGAATATCTCCAAGGATGGAGACTCCACAGCCTCCCTGGGCAACCTGTGCCAGTGCTTGGTCACCTTCACGGCCAAGCATCCGAGAGGCCCAGCTCAGGACCAGAAGTGCCACTCCTCCCATGGACTCCAGTTAACAGGGACCTAATCTTGCCACTCTAACCCTGCGCGGCCATTGGCAGGGACTCTGCATCGTGCAGAGGGTACAGCTCCTCTGCGAGCTCTGCAGGCAGGCAGACTGCAGGCACAGAGACAGTGCACCTGCACCTCTCCCCAGGCAAGTCTCCACCCCCACTTCCACAACGTGTCACACAGAGAACACAGCAGAAATAATCCAGGGAAAAACAGCGAGGGGCCGGTGCCTGCACCACGGCCTGGGACATTACCCTGCGGTGGCCAGGCCGATGCGCTCCATGATTACTCTCCTGGCTTTGTCCGTCCATTCCTCATCATCAGCCCATGGCCCTGTGATAACAAGACAGAGTTGGACTTAGCAAAGCAGGCCAAGGCTCCTGCTTCAGACTCACAGAGCGGATCCTGCCGTCCCCACAAGAGGCAACTCACAGCTCCCTCACACACCAGGGAGCAAGTGAAGAAGGGGCCCCGGAGGCAGAAGGACCATGTTGTCAGCCCGTGCGTGGAAGTCCCTGCCTCTGCCTTCTGAATGGAAAACATGAGCTATCTGCAGGGCAGAAAGGTGAATTTTGAACACTACAGACCACAACCGATTCACAGGCTCGGGCTCACAAAGCCCAAGGAAATCCCAGCTCCTGCTGGGATCCTCCTGCCACTGGATCTGCTGCCGTGCTTAAGTAACCCAAGTACGTGAAGTTGGTACCTTACCAAAGGGCCTGACAGGCAGAAGCAAAGTCCTAGCAACTGTCTAAAACACAGAACTGAGTGGTCAAGTTGTAAGGAAGGGAGTAACCCGAGCAGCCTGCTGGGATCTGCACTGGGGACCTTGTGTCTCGACACAAAGTGGTTATCTGGCACAAGAAGACAGTAAGGAGGAGACAAATTCTGCTTGTGATACCAAATTATTTCAGAGCTGCAGAAGGACCTTGTGACCCTGAGCAACTGGGGAGGAAAACGGCAAGGCTAGCAAAAGCAATGCAATACATTTAGAAATAACTGCCTCCTAGATGCAGTCCCCCATGCACAGGCTCCAAAATGAGCTGTCAAAACTCAGGGCAAACCTGGGAGCCACTGGAGTGATTCTCCACAAACATCAGCTATTGCTTAGTGGCACTGGAAACTACTACACACGTTTGGACATAACAGGGTGTCTAGTTGACTGTGTCAACGAGCAGGGACAGGCGGGCTCTTACCGTGGTCAATGGGATAGACCTTCAGCCCATCCAGCTCAAACAGCCGTCCCTTGATGGGGACGTAACTGACAAAATGAAAAGCCTCCATGGTTCGCACAGCACTGATGCCGTTCTGCTTTTCCGGCAGGTGCCGTGGCTCTGGCCTGCGAGGGCAAGAGAGGCGAGAGGTCAGTGGAGAGTCTGCCTCCTGCAGCGACAGCGAGCTGCAAGACACCCCCTCACTCACCGGGCATGGCTGTTATGGGCCTTGGCCAGCTCTGGGGCATTGCCGATGGCATAGCCTTTACTCTGCAGCAAAGAGCAAGAGAGGAAAATAACTGAGAAGTGCCAGGAAACAAATAAAACGCTTCACCCATCGGCTCCCCACTCCCTCCAACCATATGCAGGACTGGGAGAGCACCTTTCAGGCACACCCTCTGCTCTGACAAGTTTTAGGTAAAACCCAAGATGAAAAGAACACACAGCATCTGCTAAAGAAATTTCAGTTAGAGAGAAACACAGACTTCAAGATAGGTCTCAGGGCAGGAGAGAGGACTTTTGACCACAGACTTCGAGAATGCATCTGGGCTAGGGAATAACGTGACAGAAGGCTCAGAGCTGTGGCCAGTGTAAGAGGACCAAGGCTCTGAGCAAGGTGAGGTAGGAAGATGAGAAAGAAGAGGCAGTACTGACGTAACATGCAGCCACGAAGCAGATGGACAGGAGCCAGCTCATTAGGGCATCGTCCTGAGAGGGAAGCGAGAGGCAGATTCACATGCGCCACCGGTGCACAGCCCTGCCCCTACCTCAGGGCTAAAGCCTTTGGTGAAATCCTTCATGCGGCTCAGCGTGGGACCCAGGTCGACATTGTTGCAGTTCAGGAGGACGCTCAGCAGGGCATGGGTGGCACAGGAATTGGGGATCAGCTGGAAGGTGACACAAAGACCATCTTAACCAGCAAGAACAAGACACCGCTTCAACAACCCCTCAGAGTCGACAATAATCAAGTGAAAAGTACTGACATGAGAACCACTTGTGAGAGCAGCAACTTGACCTCGGCTCTCAAAGGAAGGGAGGTGGTCAGTCTCGTTCAGCGAGCCACCCCACGCCGCATGAGCACCAGCTCACTGCGCAGGCCACGGACAGGCTCACAGCCCTCACTGGATTCCCTCCAACGCGGAGCTCAGCCCAGAGACTCCCAGGAAAGACAAGCTGCTCTCAGGACCATCAAAAGCAGCGTGGCCTCTCAGTACCATGTTGCTTCCCTGAGGTGTCACAGGAGACACCCCTCCCCCCTCCCCCCTCCCCTCCAGCCTACCTGGTGAGCAAAGAACATGTTATTAACAATGTCATCGTCGATCACTGATGTCTCGTCCACCAGGGTAGAGACCTTCCGGCGCGATCTGCGCTCCTCAATCCACTTGAACAGGAAGATGAACCCATACACAGGGCTGCAGAGAGAAGGCAGCAGCTGCATTGTTTTGGTCGGACCACACCACTGCGGCTGCTCTGCCCAGCGCCAGAAACCTTCTGTTTCAAATCACGGGCAGAGCAAAGACAGGGAGGAAAAGCAGAACCACCCAGCCCAACTTTCTGGAAGTGACTATCGCTGCCACAAGTCCTCCCACATTACCGAGCACGCTTTCCTCCACTGACGCTCTGGGCTCAGACAACAATCAAGCTTGAAAACTTTGGGGCTTGACAGGTCTTACAAAGCTCAAGACAGAGAAGCGAGAGGCGAAATTCACCTCTGAACACTGACCAACCTGCAGAATGGTGCCTGACCACCAAATGGCCCCTCCTTTTCAATCTATGTTGTATTCATTTTCAAGGAGTTCGGACAATGGCTTTTAGGGAAGCGACAGCCTCAGAGCCATTTCAGAGCACTGAGACCGGGAGAAAGCCCTCACACTGGTTGGCACTGCACCTCTCCAGGGGGAAAGGCAGATGAATCCCTTCAAGTATGACCCCCACCTGCCCCATGAGGTCTTTCTCATCGCACAAGACTGCCTGTCTGCCCCAAACCTGATGAACCACTGCTGGTTCATCGCTTACAACGCTGACCTCCACGACCGACGAGCTCACGCAGGCCCCTCGGAACGCCTGGCGATGAGCTCCCAGGCCCACAGACGCATTCTGCTTAATAAAACCGACACCTTCGCGCCTGTGACTTACCCTTGGCATTTGCTCTGCAGATCATAAATCTCTTCAACCTGCACTCCCTTGACCCCTGCAAACAAAGGGCAGAAGCTGGTGTAAAGCCCACGAGAAAGAACCATGGGTAACGCCCATTCCCCAGGAAGGTTTTTTGCACTTACCAAAATCTTCGACCAGGAGTGTGAAGAGACCTGGAAAGGAACAAAACCATGAGGTCACTTCTGGCTGAAGCACAGAGGTAACCTGCTGCCACTGGCCCCAGGCCAAGGCGCAGCCAGAAAAACCACAGCAGAGTGGCACCAGGATCACGCTGAATTCCCAGCAGCAGAGGTGCTGAGCCCTGGCATGCTGCAGAGGCGCTCTGGCTCCCTTCATCTCTCCACTCCCATTCATCATCCTCTTCCTCGAGAGGATCTGAACCAACCCTCTGCTGTTGGAGCCAGGTGAAGCTGGACCCACCTTCAGCATCCTGACCCACTGCAGCTGACCTGCCAAGAAGTCAGTCCCCACCACGACCAACCAGCAGCAGGCAGCACCTAAATGACACACACACCCTTCCAACTGGAGGCAAACGCGGCTGAGTAGATCACGGGACATTTTTAAAAAAGATCATTTATGTTCTCGTTAGCAAAAGACAGTGAAGGGAAAGCCAGCTCACAGCAAGAGGGCTGCGGAGAAGTCTGAGGGCTGAAAGGCTCGTCTTCATCTCCCTCTCTCCTGGGGGACCAAATCCAAGAGCCGGCCTCCAGCGACTACAAAATTCCCATTACAGAAGGCCAAAAGCAGGGATACAGAGGCAATGGCAAAGAGACCGAAGGATTATTAGACATCAGCGACTGCGCAGCAGCTTCTGCTACGATGCTGTAGCAAAGGCAGTCGGCCTAATTTTCAGGCGGTTTCCCTGCACGTAGAGTTAGCGAGCTCGAGACTGGAATAATAAATCTGCTGCTTTCGCTCCTGGATAAAAGCTGCTGAAAGCCTGGGGGGAAGCCCAGGGAATATCAATAAGGAGGATTCAATCCTGAGAAACATCCCAGTAAGCAAAGGATTTAACGAACCTGATGTAAGTAGCTCAGTCAAGAAGGGAAGAGCCCAAGGGGCTTCCACACCAAAGTTAAAATGACTGAAACGGGGAGGAAACTTCTGAGAGCAAGAAGTCTTCATTAATTAAGCAGAAAACACGGTATTTCTTAAAAAATTGTCAGCGGGAAGAAACACGCTGTGGAAATGACATGCTTCGAACCAGTGCCAGCCTCCTTGCCGCGCAGCGCCGTTCCACCAAACCCCAGCACCTTTCTGACAGCGATGGTTTTGCTCAGAATACTCGATGCCATGGAGGGGTGTGTCGTACAGGTGACATCGACCGAGACTTCTGGCAGCCTCGCTGCCTTCTTCACAGCAATCCCCTGAGGGCAAGCGGTCCTTGGAGACCATAAGGGTCTTCATTTGCCCACCGCAGCCACGGTTCTTGTTCCCTCCTTAGATGGTGTCTGTTATGGAAGCGGGAGTCACAGCTGTTTACAGGCAGAGTCTCTCAGCCGTAAAAGCTTCCGCAAAAATCGAAAACCTCACTCGCTCTCCGATTTCCGCAGTTCCAGTCCACTGATCGCAGCACAACACGTGCGACGCGAGAAGACATGAACCGTATCACAAGCTCTGCCTCGCAGCCAGTGAAGATTTGCATCCGAGCAAGGCCTTGCGAATGCAAGCAACCATAAACGCTGAAAGCAGAGCTGCTCCCGCAGGCACCACCAGCAGGAGAGGACCAAGCAGGACTCCCAGGCTCACTGTGGCTCAGCCCGCAGCGCTCCACATCTCCACAGCAGCTCCCCAGGACTGTGCGTCAGACCGGCAGGGCTGCACCGACGGAGACGGGAAGTCAGCCGTCGCGCGTTCTCCTCCCGTCTGATCAACATCGCCGGGGAGTCAGAGAGAAGATGAAGCCAAACTTCTCTGAAAGCACCACGAAACGACAAGCAGTGATGGGAACAAGCTGCAGCAAGAGAAATTCTGACTACGCACCCAGAAAAAAACAATTCTTCGCTACCAGCATGGTCAGCCCTGGGACTGGGGTGCAGAAATCTCCTCCTTGGGCATACTCAACTGGACATGGCCACGAGCGACCTGAACTATCTTTGACATTAGCTCTGCTTTGGTCCAAAGACTTCCAAGGTTCCCTTCCAACCGCAGAATTCATTGCAGTGTTTTGTATGACCTCAGGATCCACGAAAGGCGTAGTCCTGCTGCTGTGATCAGTCCTGGAACACCCGAAACCCCCATCCCGAATTATTTGGGTCAGCTGGAGGAAACCCTCCAGTGTCCACAAGCACAGGCAACGCTACGCCAGCAGCCTGGAGGCTCCCAAGGGTCCCCTCCCTGCCCACACAGCCACAGCAGACAGCCCAAATCTGGATCTACCAACCCTTTGTGAGCAGTAACGCACCGAGATCTTTCAGTCACAAGCCCCATGGCGAGGGCTGAGCCCCTCATGGGATGTGCTGAAGGCTGAGAGCAGCGCGCAGGTCATTCCTAACGGCTGTCCCAGCTGCCACCTCTGCAACCGAACCTCCACACACCCAAAGGAGCGCAGCTGTGGCGTGCTGAGAGCCAGCCTCTGCCCAGACAGATAAAGCAAATAAACTCCCCTTCCAGGCTGGAGAATCCAAACCATGTCCTGTCTTCAGCATCATTGTGATGCAGAAGGGGGAGGATGGGAAGTGTTTTGGCAATTCTCAAGTACCAGTAAAAAGACGGTAAAGAGCAAGCAAAACTTGGGCTGACTGGGAGACCAACAGCAGACAGAATCCTTCACTGAGCATAGGAAAAGGAGTATCATGCCAGGGGTCAAATTTCCTCACCCACAGCCTCAAAAATACACCACCACATTTTGCAGACCAGCTCTCAGCCTCCCAGAGGACCACCCCACGCCTCACTAGGGCAACTCAGAGGCGTTAAAAACAACGCTCAGCCAATGCCCCAGCCGACACCGGCTTTGGCCCTCAAATCCTAACCCGCACACCAAACCCTGGGACTCCACCTCTCCGACGCGGTAGGAAGGGGACGCCCAGGACCGTCCTGCTCCCGGCTGCGCAGGCACCACACCGGGCTCTTCGGCACCTTTCCTGGGCTGCCTGGGGGAGAGGGTTTGATCCGCCTGGTGTGACAGGGACAGAGACGTCACCCTCACGTGCTCCCGAGTGACACAGGTTGTCCTCCATCGCCCGCAAAGCTCTGGGCTGATCGCCAGGCAGAGCCGTTTCTGCAGCAAGGGGCAGCCCACACGCACGCCTCTCCCTGTCTCTCAGCGATGTTTCAGGGTGTATTTGCAAGGGACGGGAACGCTTCGTGCCACACCCTGGCGGTATGTCAGAGGTTTTCCACAGAGACCCCTGGGTTTATCAAATCTGACACACGCAGAGGGGACCGGGGCACCTCGTACCCAGTGCACTAGTGCTGCCAGAGCCTGGGCCTCACTTTGCCAGACCCTGGTCACCCAATCCTGCCCTCACCCCACACCGGCACCCCTACACCCCCCCTCCTGACATCCCTTTTTCTGCCTGCCCTGCACTCCTGTAACCTCTCCATAATCCCTCCACAGGCCATGCTCCACGCAACGCAACCTCGCTCAACCCCCTTCCTGCCGGGACCCACACTGCTCCTCCACCCCCACACCCTCGCCGGCTTTCCCAACCCTCCGCCCGCACCCCCACGCTCCTTCCCGGCCCCCTCAGCAGCTCTCTCTCCCCAGCCCCC